ACAATTTATACCTACGCACTATGACAATCAGAACAAAACAATTTTACAACAAACACAACATTTTGACAATCAAGACAACTGCAGCTAAAATCTAACTTCGCCGGTAACACCACCTTATTCGCCTGATATGAGGCAATTTTTGGTCTTCTTCTCGCGTCCAAAATTTAAATTAAAAGGGAAAATAATGCTTAAAGCAATAAAAGTCAAATTTTATTAAGTCATTAGGAAATATTGTTATGCAATACGAATTTTAAAGGTATTTGGAAAAACGGGTATACATTTTTTTTTCATTTTTAACTGACTTCAAAAAAAAAGGAGAAGTTCATGTGAATATTTTTTTAAGCATGTACCCGGGGATAACTTTGGACCACGTGAACCGTTTTCGATTATTCTTTTTTTTGTAGGAAAGGTAGTACCTCAAAGGTGGTTCCCCACTAATTTGGTTTAGTTCCTATCACTGTGTGATGAAGAAATTAACGGTACTCGAAAATTTTTATGCTTATGCTGGATTTCCACCAGGTATTAAATGACAAAAATTTTAATCACAGAATCGTGCATTTTTTTATATGCCTCAAAATTTTTGTCATTTCAATGCCTAGTGGAAATTTGGCATAAGAAACAAACAATTTCAAAATTCTACTACATTTTATCACAAACTGACAATTGTGTTTGCCTGTCAATATTTTTTTTTTAATGTAAGCGACTAGTAATTGTATTTAACAATTTTTATTTAAAAATCACAAGTGTTCACTAATTGCTTGTACAGTGAAAACATCATTTGTTTGAATATGACTATAGGCTACAACTGCACTATCATAATAGAATTAGGCTTCTTTTTAATAGGTTTGTATGTATTTAATTCTCCCTTGTTTACAATAAAATTATAAGTCATTTATTATGTTATGTGAATGTAGCTGTTGCTTTTCTTATAGGTTTTCTTTTTTTAATTTTTTACTTTTACTGATACTCAGTCGCTATTTAAGTGAACACGAGTTCTAACATGTGCAACATGGGCTCAGTGCGGAAGTTAAGTCGCAATCGAAAGATAAAAATTTACAAAAAAACAAAATAAAATGATGCACTTGCCAGTATTTAGACAATATCTACATACATTCAAACATATGCCAGTATTTAAGTAACGTGCGATGAAAATGTGACTTGAACTCAAAGGTATCAGGGGCTAAGAAAAAACAAAAGTGCGCCTCTGACTTTAATTAAGTGTGCATTAACACAACTTACATACAGTGGTCGAAAAAATTATAGCCGCACCACATTTTGACAAGTTTTACCGTATTATTTTTGCTGTTATTTAATTTTGGTTTTTGCTTATAAAAATATAGTTCCTTCTTTAACAAAACCCGTGTAAATCCAAGTTTCCAACTTTGTGCAATATTAACAACAAAAAACTTTCGTAAAAATTTGGAACTTTTTTTATTTAGATTTCCTAGTAAGATTCTGAGTATGCAGTTTTGTAGCCCATTGAAAAGTGCAAGTTTAAAAGGGCTAAAAATTCCCGTTGATTTTTTTTAGAATTTTTCTACGGTTTTCATCCATATAAAAATAAATTGTGTGTGTTCGTTATATGGAAGCAAATGGGACAAAAATAAATAAAAATATTCTACTAGAATTCAATGGGCTGCATACGCAGAATCTTTCTAGGAAATCTAATTTAAAAAAATCGTAGTTTTTACGAAAAATTGTTGTATTTTTTTTAATATTGTACAAAGTGTGAATCTTATATAACAACAAAAATACTACTTATGTTAAAACTTGTCAAAATGTGGTGGGGCTATAATTTTTTCCACAACTGTATGTAGAACTACATATTGTACAATAGAGAAAACAAAATCTCAAGGATTGTAAAGTAAAATTTTTGACCTGTGTCGCACATCTCGTCCAATATCAATTTAGAGCATATGGGTTCTCAGCACTGATTAGCCGAGGTCACTGTTCAGTAAATTACTAATACACTGATAGGACCCTTATTATTAACCTTGCGGGTAGTTATAGAGAACAATCACATTTGTGGATTACAAAAAGGCAAACTTAAAGTGGCAATAACAAAAAAATTTAAAAGTTTAATCGAGCAATATTACGTTAATTTAGAATAAAAATATTGTGAATGAACATGCATGCGTATATACATTTGTATGTATGTATATACATAAAAGTATTAGCTAGGACAGTTGGCGATAGATATGTCACGTAGGCCGCAATATACATCAGTTACATACAAAACTACATATAATTTTATTGATTTGTAGATTTAAAAGCGATTATGTGACTTGAAATTTAATTAAATGAATTATAAATTAAATACATATGTATGAACAAATTGTATGTGCATACATATGTCTGTATGCATTTGCACGCTTATAGGATTTATTTGTTTACTTGCAAAATGGTAATTATGGTTGGAATGTGCACTTTAATGCTATTTTTAGTTTTTCTTTTTTTTTTAACAACAGCAATAAAAAACACAGATAAAGCTTGTTTACCAATCAAAAAGCCGGCTGAATTAAAATTATGTAATCAGAGAAATAAAAAGCACATAATAGGAATAGTAAAAGCAAATGAAAACAAGTACCTAATAATATTTAAGCAAAAAATACAACCGACTTCAATGCTCATACAAGCATTTTGGAGTACCGTTAATTTCGTCATGATCGATTACCGATAAAAAAAAAGAGACTTATTGAAACAATTTATGTGGTGCAAATTATTTGGTAACACAGATAAAAACAAAAAAGAAAAATATATAACTACAAATTTAATTCAACATTATTTAAAAAACAATATTCCGATGAATTGATACCCTTCCTTCTTTTTTGAAATCGGTTAAAAAAGTAAAAAGTAAAAATTTTATACAACATTTTTATATTGTAAAAAACTACAAAAAAAATCAACAATTAATAAAAATAAAAAATTGTATTCAAAATTTTGACAATGAATCAGTCGGTTCAAAAAAGTAAAAGCTAAAAACTTAACAAATAACACATAAATATGTCCAAATTCTATTTTTAATATTTTTTTTTTAAATTTTCCTTTTTCGACACTTCAACATTTTTTTCTCAAAAACTGGACGTGCTTAAAAAACTGTGTAAATTCACTTCAAATCAGCATCACAAAATCTATAAGATGAGCTCGGTCCCGTTTTCGAGAAAAAATACTACCAAATTTTGTTGAACCGTGTAATTTATTGTAAGAAACTACAAAAAAAAAATAAAAAAATTCAAAAACCAAAAAATATATAAATTTTAAAACTAATTACAGCTCAAAACACCAGTGTTAGTATAGTAAAAACTTAAAAATTTAATAAAAATAACAAATATTTGAAAATAAACATAACAAGTAATTTTTAAGCCAAAAACAAAAGCGACTTTCGATCGGATCTAAACCAAATTGGTATGGGACCATCTTGGAGGTATCACCTTTCCTTTAAACACGATATCGTGGTCCAAAGTTATGTGGTAACATACATAAAAGAAAAATTAAAAAATATTCCGACGAATTGATAATCTCCTCCTTGTTTTGAAGTCGGTTAAAAATACATATGTACATATACATATATGTATATCGACGACTGAGTGGAAGATCGAATTGGAAATCTCAGGAAATTTTCCAAGAACACCCAATTTTTGAACCATTTGCTAAGATAGGACGTTCTTAATACAAATCCTGAGATAGGGCGTTTTACAATAAAATTCTGAAACAGGGCGTTCTTGAGTTATTTTGGCTCACTATATAACAAAAACCATTTATGTCCAAATTTCAAACTTTATAAAAGATTTATGTAAAAAATCCGACGAATTTCAATAAATGTTCATCAAAATTTCAAATTCTAGCTATGCAGTTTTGTAGCCTATCAAATTTTTTTATGATAAAGTGCATGTTTGAAGGAGCTACCATTGATTTTTTGCAATTTTTTTGCTCATAGTGCTGTTCGTTTTCCTCGATATAAAAAAAAATTTCGAAGTTACTTTTATGGAAGAAAGTTTGAAATTTCGTTGAAATTCGTTTCGCAGTTTAATTCATATTGCACTTGTCATCGGGTTCTGAGCTACATAAATTTGAAGTTTCAAGTGTCTAGCTCATCTGAAGGAAGATTTTACCCAAGCAAACATGCATAAATACATACATACAAGCATAGCAAGTTAAAAAATAAATAAATAAAAAAGCGCGGTAAAAATCGTTAGCTCCAAACTAGCAGAATTTAAAACACATTCACGGAAATCTCAGCGCTCTTAATTTGAAATGAGTTTAATATGATTAGTAAATATGTACATAGAAAAAGATTTTTCTAGCTTTATCTGTGTGTATAGGCAGCATTACTAAATTAAATAACAGATTTAGTTGCGCCAAGGTGGCACAGTGAACTTGGATCTCGCATTGTTTAATGCTCTCCCAAACATGTCTTGATTTATGACTGCCTTTGAAAAAAAGCGTTGTTAGATAAAAGCAGCAAGCAAATAAATAGATAAATATACATACATACATACATACATATGTATATATGAAATGCACTTTGGCTATAACTACTGCGAAATTTATTTGAGGCTAAAGAGTACATTTATTTCTGAGTGCAAATGCTCAACACCCAAGCAATCAAGATGAAATAATTCCTTTGTTTTTAAGAACATTTAGGATATGTACAGAATTTTTACTACATACATACATACATACATATCTCTCTTTGGCAAAGGGTTCATCCGCTTAAATGAACACAATTTTGTTGTTAATATTTATGATTTGGCTGTAGAAAACAAATATCTTGGCGAGAAACAACGAAATTGAAAACAAAAGTATTATTAGATGACAGCTACAAGCGCATAGGGGTACCCCTATGGGAACGATTAGTGTTGTTGCCACAAATGCAAAATTTAAGGATATTGACCGGATATGAGAGTTTTACCCCTCCTATACACAAATATCCGGATATCCGAATATACGCTTATTCATCAGCAATCAATAATAAGTGCTTCATCTCTCTTTATTTGCAGACAATAAACCCAAACCTGAAACCATTGAAGTATTCACCGTAAAAATTCGTGAGAACGGTACATTCAAAATGGTCAAACTAACGCTTGAGGATATCTGGAATCAAGGCTGGGAACTTCGAATTAATAATTTCGCCGACAAGGAAAAATCAGCGCATAACGAAAAGGACATACGCAATCAGGTAAGCCGCTGTCAAAGGACATATTTATATTAAAATTAAATATTCCAATAAAGAAAGTATATGTATGTATGTACATATTGATTATAATTATTAACATATTTCTACTTCATTATACACGCACAGGTGTCGTTTGCGCGCAAGGCCAGGCATAGTTTGTGGAACAACAACAAGCATTTTGTTTATTGGTGTCGCTATGGCAGTCGTCAGCAGGATGTGCGGAAGCGCCAGGTTAGTACAGAAGCAAAACGAGCTACAAAAGTTTTTAGTTACATATGTACATATGTACTAATTTATTGCATTGCTACTCTTTCATTACGCGCAGATGTCCGAGTGCGTTAAGTGGGGCAGCGTAGGCATGAACGCCGGCATGCTGCTGCTGATGAACAAGCAAAAATCCTACTCCACATCCAAGTGAGCGGATGATCTGCCTGTGCGGCTAGCAGCGTAGAGGTTTTCAGATTTCAGCAATTCCACAAATCCAGTGAGGAGATTCGCGCTTGCAATCAAACGATCAATCAAACAAAATGGAGAGAGATAAAGTGAAAAATATTGTACTGAAGACAAAAAAAACACAAAACAAAACAAAACAAAAATGAAAAGACCACAAAAATTTTAATATAAAGAACGTGTATGGCACTAATATTAAAGTTGCATTGATTTTATGAGCATATCTACATACATACCTATGTATGTATGTATGTATATGCTTATGTATCAACATTCATACATATGTATTTGTGTGATAATGCAATGTTTGTAGGTGATTTGCTGTGCGATTGATATTGATATTGTTAAAAACACACGCAACTGTATTCAGTGATAAATTTTTAGAAATTTGGCGCTCGAAGCTCTATGAAAATTGTTTATAAAAAATATTATAAATTAAGTGCGCAGGCGCCAGTGAATTGTAAATTACATGCACATGCGAAGAAGGAACAAGTATTTAATTTTGTCGAAAAAACCCAAAGCAAATGTTTCAAAATAAAAAATGCAATTATTTGAAAATCACAAATGTACTTCAGAGCAAAAAAAAAAAAAGCAAATATAGCAAGGAGCTAAGTTACCAAGGTATTATGAATGCACAGAGCAGCAGTTTAAGTTATTTATTTTTTATTTTTTATTATTTCCTTTTTTCTTAAGTTAGATAAGTTGCGCAATTGTGGTCAAATCACGCGAGAGGCAGAGAATACACGTTCTCTTATTTTTCGTCTTTATTTTCCTGGTTGCTGATGATCGCTTTGGTTGCATATACATACATACATATGTACATGCATGTAGTATGTATTCTAGATATATAGTAGTGAGCGCGAATCGATAGCCGAACCCTAGGTGACCCAGGTGATGATACAACATTCACATACATATGCACATGCATACCTTGTTAATATATATTACTCACAAACATACAAATGTATGTATATCGATGGTACTCTGCAATAACGAAACAACTCGAAATTTCATATATTTCAGTAGAGCCAATTAAAGATTTTTTTGTTTCGTAACTTAGCAATAATATGTCTTGGAACGTAATTTTTCAAATTATGACTTTATCTAAAGATTTAGTAAATGTTGGGCTGCAAAAATACGAAATAAGTAACAACTAACTAGTAAGTAGTAAAACGAAAAAAATTCCATTTGTATTGCTGAACAACGGCACAAAACGAAAAGTGTCGTTATTTCACATAACAGCACGACTAACCTATCGAGAGTTTTTGACTTATGCCTCTGCCGGATTGGTAACCACTCGATTTGGCACAGAAAAATATGGTTAGTTATAAACCTAATCTGCTATATATGTAACTAAAAACTATGAAATTTTGAGTTGTGCCGTTATTGCAGAGGACCGTCGATATGTTGTCACCCTTAATTCACAAATGCCCTAACGAAGAATTTTTTTTATTTTACAGGAGAAACAAAAAAACACTTTAAAAGTAGTATCACTCACAGGTAGGACCTTTTAAAAAGTGATGTCCAACTCGTAGTTTTTGGTACTAACACTTTTAAATTTTTATTGTAGGTGTATTTTAATACATCCTACCAAAATCTGTGAAAAACGCAATTTCGAAAATAGTGTTGGTTAGGGCATTTGTGAATTAAGGTAAAGATGTATATTAGGGTGAATCAGACCATAGAAAAAAAAAACAATCGGGACTGCTTTTCCATCGGAGCTATGAAATTTATTATATTTTGAGAGTTCCGCCAAAATATTTCGGAAAAATATTAAAATTTAAGCGAGCTGCATCTATTTGCAAACACCTCCAAATAAGGTGTTTTTTATATAAATAAAATTAATTCTTTTAAATATTTTTTCCAAAAAACCACTTCAGATCATAAAAGAGTTTAAGCTTAAAAGGTCTGCATAATTCTTAATATATTTATGGAAATATTTTGCCAGAAGTCTTAAAATAAAAAAAAAGTTCTATAATTCCGGTGGAAAACCGCAAGTTTTTTTTAGATGAGGCATCCTAATGTACCTACATATATGTATATAGAAAACATTAATGACCTGAAACTTGTACGTAAACATTATTTACTGCACATACACACAGTTATTTAAGGAAATATACATACATACATACATACAAAGACGAAATGGCGCGCTTTGCCAGTCATCTCTGCCACGAGTATTGCATTTCGCTACTCGTACTGATACACACTGTGAATTTCTAATATTGAAAAAGACTTGATTTCTATTTTTTAAGATTTAAGATTTACTAAAGCGACCACAAAACAAACTTTACCATCGTCAAAGTATGCGAATTAAAAATAAAACAAAAATAAAATGTAAAAATTGTAAACCCTAACACGAAATAAACTTTAAAAGTTTGCCCCTATTTGTTTTTGTTGTGGTCTATGTACATAGAACTGTACATGTAGGTATAAATATCAGATATTTGTTAAGATACTACATTTTTGATTTTTAATTGTTTAAAAAACAAAGTCGATGTAGCTCATAATATTTGTTGCAGTTAAGCTTTAACAATAAATTTTTTTTCGGTTGAAGACCGTTGGCGTGGTAGCCAAGTAATTGTATACTTAATCCATAAAAAACATACATACATACATATAAATCTTACAACAATGCTAGTTGAAATCGATGTGATCTGTTTTGTTAATTGTAAAACATAAAGAAAATAAAAAAAAAACATTAAAAAAATCTGTTTCAGAAATACATACATACATGCATACACACATGCAAATATGCATAACTAAATACATGCATACGTATGCATGGATATATCATCTAGTAACACATAAAATGCGAATTTAATGTATCGCAGTATTTATTGCTTAAATTAAACGTTATAAAAATCATAAGAAATATCGTATTGTATTTGTAGAAACTGTAGATTAGCGCGTAAGTCTATAAAGCGATAAGCCGCTCGTATATATGAAAAGCTTATGATATTAAATTATATAAAAAACATTTTTTTTGCATCGAAATTTGAATAAAGGTTCGTTTTTTGACAACAATCATTCCGTGAAATTAATAAAAAATAAAAGTAAATATTTACAGCTCACATTTTTACTAAGTGGCCGCGCTTGTCCTCTGATTTATGGTGTGCGGCTTGATGTTTGTAACACAAATGAAAAGACTATTTGCAATTCTACGCCAACTCCGAACGGCAGATGATTTTTTGGGGGCAGAAACACACTGAATGATTTGCATTTGCCTGTCGATGGGCAGCCGCTATTAGAAAATACTTTTTCTATAATTAAAACTTGGGGATTGAGCCCGAATTCTACCGAATGGAAGTCCACACCTCTAACCACATGGCTAAGGTGGCCACGAATTGTTGATAAATAGCACACAAAATTTCACAGTTTCAGCTGAGTACATGAAGGAGCTATATCACAAAAACTAGTACCTGCACCATCGGTGGAATGGGAGATACATATGTATATGTACTTATGTATGTATAATGGGCCTTGTACAATTGATTTTAACGGTCTAAATGAAGGAGTTTTAAATAAAACCTCAAATCCGAACAAACAGTTGTTTCAGATATATGAGTTATACATAGTGGCCCGATCTGTAGCCGATTGTTCGTCTCTATGAGGAAAAGGTTCATAGCTAGGTTTAAAAACAGTTGGCACCGTGGCTCTCTCGTGCCAGTCGAAGCACTGTGGCTTCGATTACGGCAATCATAGGTCGATAGTTGTTGTTGTAGTTGCTGTAGCAGCTACTTAGCCCTGCCTATATCGGCTTGCCCCTTAATCGTTGCCGTTGTAGTAGTTGTTGTTGTAAAGGCTACAACAACCCCGCCCAGATCGGTTAGTCCCTCAATCGTTGTCGTTCAATTCAACTAACAAGAGACCCAAGAAAGGTGCAACTTCGATAGGGTCTGTTCATAAGGACAGAGGCGTTAGTTGAGTTCGGTTCTGTTGGCATCCGAAGAGATGTCTCGAGTCATGGGGTGTCTCTCCGCATGCCGGGCACTCGTTTGGCACATCTGCGTTTAACTTGCTCCGGGACGAGTTTAACCTTCTGCAGTAACCGGAGCGAAGTTGAGCTATTCAATCCCAAGATGGTCGGTTCTACGCTACCAGATTCACTCGGAGAACATACTCCGATTAAGGATCATCAACACAGCAGCAACCCCCCAATTTTTTAACATGGGAGCATAACCCGCAAGTCTGCTCCGTACACTACTGGTCCGCGCCGGCATAAAATAAAATCCTAGGCCCTGGATCTGTAGTGTTTGCCACCGCAACGTACACCGCTGCAACAACTGGTGCCATCCAAAGGCATGCTCAGAACTTCGGCATCACAGGTAGTGGAGTAACAATTTTGTTGCGTCGTGCTACAACAACCAACAACAAACTCGTAACACCACACAACCAACACCCGCCAAACCATCAACCAGTCGACAACCCCAAGCACGCAACCCAGGATATCCACCCAGGACAGATGGTTCTGCAGCGTCTGCACCAACGTGATAAGGTGCAACACAACATCGGTTAAGTGCAACGCATGCAACAACTCAGGCCTAATGCACCACCGAGAATGTAGTACTGGCTTAATTGCAGCCTGTTGCCCAGCCGCACCACAACACCCCGTGCCAGTGCCTCCAACAACACACACGCCGACGCAAGCACCAACGCCATCACCGGTGGCGACACCAGCGGCTAACCCACCCTGTCAGGGACCAGCACGTCAGGCCCCAAAGGCACCTCAGGCACAACCACCAGCACAGGCAGCACGCCCGTACTCACTCACCCCGCGCGTAACCATCACCAGACCACAATCAATGAAGTTGTTGCAATTTAATTGCAACGAACTTCAAAGTAAGATCGGTTAGATAGTCGGTTTCATGAGAAGGTATAAGATCTCAGTCACGGCGATCCAGTAGACCAAACTCCACTCCGGCTCGAGCCTCCAGAGTCAGAACGAGTTCAAAATAGTCCGAAGAGAAAGCCCCCGTGGCGTCGGAGGCGGAAACGCCTTCATATTGCATAACGCGGTTCAATACCGGCTCATTACCCCCCCGAACTGATACCAACGATACATTCATTGAATGTCAAGGCTTGGCCATCAGGCCAGGGGATATGGAGCTACAGATCGTCAAGGTGTACATATCATCCGCCACCAATTGCTCAGCTGGATACCACCCTAACATAAGGGCGCTATTAGAGGGTGTGAATCGGGAGTGCTAGGTGACTTCAATGCGCACTACGAACTCTGGCACTCCAATCTGGGCAACGGCCATCCGGGTAAATGCTCGCTGAGCAAATTGGCGAATCCACGTTCTGCACTGTGAACGACGATGTCCCACCAGGTTCGCGGGTGACTGCTATAGCTCACCAGATATAACAATAGCCAGCGGGGGTCTAATAAACTGCATTGGATGGCAACCAGTGCTCATGCTCGCATCAGACCACCTACCCATAGTAGTCGTTTTATTACATCCGAGAACCGTACATTCGCGGAATTCACCAATCGCAAATTCAATGCTCTTCCACTACCATCGTCTGCGCGCGTAGCAGAGCGCTATCTCAGCCAAAAACCGCCGGCGGAACGCGCAGACGTGCGTTATCGAATCCGCCAGGCTAATCCAGGGGATCCCCGTATAAGAGATCTCAATAGGGACATTAGAAACCTGGTCAACGAACACAAGCGGAACACGTGGAATGAGCATATAAAAACCTGCAATCTCACAAGCGGAGCCAGCAAACTGTGGTCCACAGTCAAGTCTCTCTCTAATCGGACGAAGCGTAAGGACAATGTTGCTCTCACCTACGGCACCACCATCACCGTCGGATCCGCGGTCGTGCGCGCGCTTCTTTAGCCGGCAATTCATTGCACACCCAGAGAGAGACAAAACCCGCCGCAGCGTGCTGCGTAAAGCACACAAACTCCGCCCCAGGACACACCACCGTGCTTTACCACCGAAGAGACGCAGGCAGCTGTCAACCACGCCAAGTCATCCAAGGCGTTAGGCCCAGACGGAGTTTCCATGCAGATGCTGAAAAAGCTAGGACCTGCGGGAGTCAATTACATGACCGCCGCTTTCAACTTGTCACTGTCCACCCTGATCATCCCCTAGATGTGGAAAATGGGTAGGATCATCCCCCTCCTTAAGCGAGGGAAGAAGGCGAACGCAGGATACTCGTACAGACCCATCTCCCTCCCTCCCTGCCTGACGAAGCATCTGAAGCTAGCCGAACACCAACATGGATTCCGAAAAATGCACAGCACGACAACAGCATTAAACACCATTACCACACAGGTCTGAACCAACGTCGACCCTATGATAGGACGGTCCTAGTCGCAGTGGACCTGTCGAAGGCATTCGACACGGTGAACCACGCGACCCTCTGCCAAGACGTCCTGGACTCCTCGCTTCCAGCTCGGACGAAACGGTGGATAACCAGCTATCGTGTGATCGTCAGTCATCAGTCAAATTCCGAAACGCCAAGTCCAAGCCTCGAAGAATTAAATAGGGGGTCCCTCAAGGCGGCGTACTCTCCCCGACACTGTTTAATCTCTACATGGCAAAACTCCCTCCGCCGCCAGCAGGAGTTAACTTGGTAAGCTACGC